AAAAAAAAAGACATGAAAGACACGGCAGCTGTTAAAACGCCCCTCGGCGAAGCCACCTGCAACAGAGCCCAAGCAACTCACCAGGCTCGTCGGCTCTGCCCAGGACCATGCAGCATGCAAGAACCAACCTCAGAAAAACATCACTGCTAAGCCAAGCGACACAGGGCTGCACTTCTGTGGAGGGGCAGGGCCCCCCTGGAGTCCTGGACAAGCCAACCAACCAGAAGAGCTGAGATTTGACTTTCATTTGACCCATCAGTGGGCTGTCTCTTACCTTAAGTCTGTTTCTTTCCAGGCAGCTGCTCCCTGCGGCACCACCCTCCTCCACCATCTGCCAACCAGCTTAGCATGTCAGTCAGGTGGTTCAAATTTTCCCAGGTGACCAGCTATCCACTGTGGCCTGTCTTCCCAACAGGTATGTTGACATTCTGAGCAGTACAACTCACTCCCTCATCCAGCTAGTATTGTGTCTGGCTCCTACCCACCAACATGGCTTTTGTTTGCAGCTCATTCTGATGCCCACCCTGACAAGGCAGCTGCATGCAATACAGAATTCATATTAAGGCCAGAAAGACACAAAGAGCTAAACTAAAGGGCAATAACAACAGGAAAGAAGGCTCACCTCAGTGCTGATGCCATTACCTGGCTTCATTTCCCCTCTTCCCCCAATTTCTTTAATAAACTGGATGAAGTTTCTTGAATAAATCAGATGCTGCTCTCCTAGCATGCTTGTTTTCTCTGCAATCATGGCTTTGGGGGATAGCGGGCCTGTTGGATCGTGCTGAGAAGTGCCTCTTGTAGGAAGAGGCCCTACCTGCTAATTCCCATTAGCTGAGAAGACACACTAAGGCTCTGACACCTGCTGGGGCCTCGGCATTCTTGTTCTGAAGAGAATGACAGGTCTTAAGACATAACTGAACTTTACTCCCTCTCTTGGTCTAGGAACAGCCAGTTTCCATGAAGAAAACCAAAGCGGGGCTACATTCTGGTCATGAATTCTTTCCTTTCAAAGTTAAGGCTGGTACTACTGGTTCTCTAGACTTGAGTGAACTTGATTCTGCTGGAGCCTCCTTTACTCCTGGTCCTTGGCAGTTCTGCTACCTCTTTTTAATAGACCAGAACTCTCCAGAGACTGAAAGGTCCTAGAAAATACCAGTCACCGCTGAATGGGGCATTCATTACCAAGGCAGACCCATCGCTCTGGACTACCAGAGCTAGAAAGGGTTATTTACTTAACAGGAACTGGACCCAGAAAATGTTGCCCTGGAGAGCCACACCCCTGTTGGAACCTTGAAAAAGGTCTATCCAGTGAGCAGAGACATCAGCCCAGCCACACTCTGCCCCGGGTGAGCTGAGCCCTCAGAACAAAAGTGGAACCACTTTGGCTTATGGTTGCTTCCAGTACTGCAGGCCCAAGTGAGACCTTAGTTCTTTTCGAAGGCTCTATGCAGGTCCAGGGGTTCCACAGGATTCTTAACAATTTTGGCCTAGTAAAGGGCAAGAAGACACCACCACCAAGAAGGATAAAATAAGTTTTTATTTATAGTCTTATAGTAAAGGGGAAAGCCTTAACTTGCAAGACAATTCTTCGGCAGTATGTACAACATACTTTTTATTTCCATGGAATGGAATCAAACACGGACTGAGACTACAGAGTATACACTAGAAATCAGCAAATGCCAGGAACAGAGTAGGAAAAAAGACAAAGAAATGAGGCCTAAACACACAAAACCCTTCACTGGATCTGAGCTGTCAGAACCAGGGATGGATCACACAATGGGGACAGGTTCCAAGAAGCTTGGTGGAGTGGGCGAGGGCAGGTAAGGGTCCGCACTGGGGTGCGAGTTTAGTACCAGGTAAATTGCTCTTGGTATTTACATACAAAATCAGTTGGCTCTATTTCTTAGAAAAACACACGGAAAGAAAGGAAGATTTGATCATTACTTTATGAATCTGTCGCTTTGCAATACCGACATCATCAGAAATAGGGACAATTCACTCAGATTCAAATTTCAGTAGCAGGAAATAAATATCAAAACATCATCACTGGCCCTTAATACACAATCTCTAGCCCACCTGATCCTCCCCTCCTGCACCACCCGTTACCACCTGTGATGGTCACTGCTTCACTGCTGCCGCCTGTCACCGACACATACCACACAAATGTCACTCAGCCCTCCCTGAGGCTGGCGGAGAAGCAGGAGTAAAACAGGACAAAGACTCTGTGTTGCGAATCTGTCCCCACTTCCTTGTACACAGATTTTCCAAGGATCTGGTCTTTTGATAGGAGCGATAAACAGCTTTTTAGGAAAAAAAAATCAAAAAAACAAAAAAAACAACCTTAAAAAGAAGGGCAATTCTGAAATTCTGATTACTCCAAACCGGCCATCTTCTTAAAGCAGAGCAGTCCACAGATTCACAAAGTCTTATCAAACGGTGGTGAGGGCGGCCCGGGAGGGGAGCCTAGGAGGGCAGGAGTCCTTGGGCACAGGCCCGGCAGGGCTGGAGGAGCTGGTGGGTAGTCAGGACACCGTGTGCTCAGAGGTCCGGCCGGCCGTCTGTCCTCCACAGAAAAAGCTGCCACGTTGGGGTGTTTTGGTTTAAAAATTCCTGAAGGGGACAGGGAATCCCTGAAGGGAAAAGTTAAAAAAAAAAAAAAGGAAACGGGAAAGGAGACGAGAGCTGTTGTCCAAGAGCTTCTACGTAAAAATAAAATTAAAAAACAAAAAGAAAGAAAAAAAAATAGTCTCTTAAATGGTTCTGAGGGGGGTCTAAGGATGAACTGAAAGGAAGATGAGACGACGGAGGAGACAGACAGTTTTTTATTGCTGGCCTGCTCTGCAGAGCTTAGCTGGCCTCCATCCGGAGCTTCTTCCTGCTTTGGGGCTCTTCAGGCTCCGATTCTGAGCTGGAGTCTGAGCCACCATCGAAGGCAGAGATGGTGCTGCCCTTGGCGTTGGTGTAGAGGCTGTTGTCTGAGGAGGGGTAGTTGGTCTGCAGTTGGGCACTTGACCTCGCTTTCTCCAGTGCACGGACTGAAAGGCAACCAAGCGAGCGGGTTACAGTCTTCTGGAGACTGGGGGAGTGGCCAAGTCTCAGCTCAGGGTCCAGCCTGTTCTTCCGAAGGGCTTGCTGTCCCCTGAGGCTCAAGGTAGCTCAGGAGTAACTCCCTTCTGGTGGCTGTTCCACCCTTACACCTCATTTCCCTCCTTTCCCAGCCAGACCTGGGGGCCCAGTGGACATGACCGACCACTCTGCAAGGCCACCCAACCCTAAAGAAAAGGCTTGTGATGTCACCATCCTGCCATGGAAACCCAGTGTAGAGACAGGAGCATGAGCTCCCTGTAGGACTCAGCTGTGCAATGATAGAGAAGTTGGCCTGGCAACGCCAGGCCCTCACAAGAGTGTGTCAGTCACACAACAGCAGGAAAGGATGACATATGATGTGTCAGCCAAAGACAAGTTTTGGCTGAGCGCTCATATACAAGATCCATTTGGAAAGACAAGCTGGACACTTGGAAGCAAGTCACCAATACACACAGAATTCCTGGGCCTTCGCACAGAGACCCTACATGCAGGCTGCTCGGCCCAGTCACCAACCCACTGCCACCTCCCCCTGCCCAGCCCTTGGTTCAGCTCATCTAGAGCCTGGAAGATCAACCCGTTTATTTTATTTTATTTCATTTGAGGTGTTCTAACCCAGGTGGTTACTTGCATTTCCTTTTACTTGCATCTTCCATGAGGGAGGAAGAGAAGTGAATTCCCCAGGAACAAAGAACTTGATCAGCTCTCGCTTTCCCCTGTGGTTGTAGGAAAAGGCGGGTGTGAGCACTGGAGAACAGCATGGGCCTGGCCCATAGGCTGCCCTGATTGGACTACCATTGACAATGGGGAGGGCTCACTGTCCCTGAACACCTGGAGTTTCTGGTACTTACACAGCACACTCCAATCCAAGGAATTCAAAGCTCTTTTCAGACACCTGATGCTAGGTGTGACCCCTATTGCAGGCAGAGCACCTGAGCCCCAAGAATGGGAGAGATCAGGTCAGAAAAGATAATAAAGCCTCCAAATGTCCAACCCCTAGACTTCCCTGTTCCCTCACTGGCGACTCAGGTCCTTCTTCATATGGCTCTAACACTCAACTACTCAGGCCCAAGAAGCAGGGCAGCAGCGGCTGTGAGTACATGCTCCGTAACTGGTTCTGCCACTGCAGGCCCAGGTGCGAAGCCCTGACCTGGCTGGAGACAGCAGGGCCAGTGCCCCACCAGCTCGGGTGCTCACCTTGCTGCTCCAGGAGAGCATTCTGCCGCTTGAGGTCATCAATATCTTGCTGGTGTGTGTGGTTTTTCCTTCGCATATATTGGATATACTCTGTGGCTTTGTCTAGGATTTGGGCCCGTGATGCCTGTTGCAATAAAAGAAAAAGCAAAGGGGACAAAATAAAAACCTAGTTCAACAGTGAGGAAACCATGCCTTTCTGGATAAACAGAATGAAATGGCATATGGCTGAGGAACAGTGATTCCTATTGAGTCTCCTTTGTGCCAGGCAGGGGTCAATGCTCACCTCACCAGCTGTATCTGACAGAGGGAACTCCACCAGGAACCCACGGATCAGGAATTTTACTAGTTTATTCAAAACCATCATCTGATGGTATCAGAGTCTAGATTTAATAACCCTGGGTCTGCCTGACTCCTGAACATCCTACTTAATTGATACCTTATGCTACTCATTTTCTGTTAGTGCCTGAGTCCAGGTGGCTGGTTCAGAAAGACAAGAGTAAGATCTTAATGGGAGTGCATACAAAGATATTCATTAAGACCCTAAATTTCAGCCAAACCCTCAGACCTCTGTGAACTATTTCTAAGAGTTATGCTGCTGTGTCACTATTTCAGCCTTCCTGTCTAAGAGTCTTGTGAAAGCTAACAGTGCCTGATGTCAACATAGGAAGGGCATGAGATGGAGCCATTCAGGAAGTAGCCACACCTTTACCATGGCCAGGCACTGTCCTGTTAGAGGAACATTCAATAAGCCAATAAAAAGGGCTGTCAGGTACTCAGCCTCTGGAGGTCAAACATGCCTAGAAGATCCTTCTGGGCTACACACATGGCCAGAGTTAACTGAGGCCATGCACCCTGAGTTAGTTGGATGGTGCCAAGTAGAGAGAACTTAGGCTCAAGCAGGGCAGTCTAGTAGGTAAAGCAGGGCCTTCACACCATTAAGCCTCCTCAGTAGCAGCAAGCTTATTCTAAGTAGGACAGTACCCCACAATTCTGTATTGTAACTCCAACTGGAACTAAACAACTAGAACACAGAAGGAAGAAAAAGTAAAGATAACACCCACATCCAGGCTAGCAAAATTATGTGCACTGGTATTAGATTCTGAGAATCTCAATTTATAGATGAGGTTGAACTGCGTATCAGACAGGTTTGCAAGGCTGGCTTTATTTACCAGTCCTCAGAAGTAATAGAATGTTCGAACCTTTCTTTTATAGTACCCTTAAAGTGATTTCCTCACAAGGAAATGGTTCATATTCTAGCATTTCATTTAATCTGGTGCAAATTATGCACAAGGCACTGAGCAGACAGTGGGGAAACAAAATGTATTAGTCATGGTTTCTTTAGCCCAGAAGCTTACTTATTACTACCTAGCTGAGGAGATAAATATATCTATACACAGACAAATCACAGGGCAGTACCAATACGTGTAACTTGAGTAGTATAAGCTAGAAAGGCCAAAGGAAAGGCAGCATCTGACTGGGGTGATTATCTACTAGGTGCCACCCACTGGCCTCAGCTTTATGTACACACACTCACTCCTGTCTGAAACAGTGAATTGAGATTTTAACATTTGCTTGGGGTGGGAGCTATGGGGAAGGGTCACTCTGGGTAGGGAAGAACGCACAAACAAGGGGGGAGGATGGGGACAATCCAGGGTGGCGGAGTGAGTCAGTGAGCACAGGTGGAATGAGGGTAGCCTAGCAATGGGGGCTTGCTACTCTGGTTCAAAGTCACTTCCAATGCTGCTTCCTATTTGTGACAAAGGGGAATTTAGGGTCTAAGTATTAGATAAAGTGGGAAAAAAACAAGCACACAATTATACTAATTGAAATAAGCAGTCTCTAGATGTTAGAAAAGGAATAAAAATAAACACTGTATGATAGGCAGCAGAGTAGAGAGGAAGAAGTTGGGAATCCAGTAGACAAGTTGCATGTAGGCTCTGTCATTACTGGGTATGTGACTGCAAACATGGGTATATGTCTGCAGTCCTTATTTGACTAGAAATTGTTTAGGTCCTCACCGATTCCTCCAAATTCCATGTTACCCATCATGGATTGTTAGGCATAAAAATTCCCCACAACAGTTCTCAGAAGGCAGTATTATTTCTTAATGATTCCTGTGTGTCTAGAGTCAGGTGCCCCCCGCTCCTGACCCCTTAGCAAGTTGAAAAAGAGTAGTGCAGCTAGGGCCCTCCCTGGTGGCACAACAGGTTAAAGCGCAGCACCATGAAGCTACTGCAGCCACTGCAGCACAAGTTCGATCCCCGGACAGGGAGGTGACCTACATGGCATAGCAGACCTCTTCTAACCCGCCCACTGCTCCCCTCAGCAGTGTATTTCAGTAGATCTGCCTGATCTACTGCCCACCCTGTCTCTGGTGAATCTTCTCATCACCCACACCTCTGGCCTGTACCCCAGGTCTGTACGCATATATAAATAAATCTTAAAAAAAAAAAAAGTGGTGCATCTAACTTTAGCTTCTCTTCTCAAGATGGTCAACAAGCATTAAAATATGACAAGAGGAAACCTAAAGAATAAAATACAGAATTTACATAATTATCTAGCACCCAAGGGAGAAAAAGCTGAAGGTAAAAAGTGACAATCACTAAAAAACCCTCTCCTCCTTCCATTTTTCCAAACAATACAAGTGACCAGCTGTAGCATTAAGGTGAGGGCAGGCCCTTCCTTGCCTTACAAGTTTATACTACGTGAACAGTAAGCATGAAGCCAGTCAGAACCCTGCGCATGAGGACATGGACTATGGAGTGGCCCTGGGCTTTCAGTTTCAGTTTTCTGAACCATGCTCTGTTGCCTCAATCAGCAATGTCTACAGTCCTGAAATTGGGCGGAAAGGACTTGGTAAATTCAGAGAGTGACAATGCCTTTGGGTACATACTAAAGACCTTTATAATTCACCCCCCCACACACACACACCAGATTCTTACCATTAGAAGGCATCAATTTTGGTTCTGCTTTCTAAGCAGAAAGAAAATCTCTTCAAAGGTTTGTATACAGCCTTGAGACACAATGGGCCATGGCTGATGGGACTTAAGAGGCACTGGGCTCCTAAAAGCAAAGTGGTTTCTTAAGGCTATCTGTCACCCCTGGGAGCCATGCAAAAGGATGCTGAACAGTCTGGCAGATCTTATTCCTAAACCATGCGTGCAAACCATGGCAATAATGACAACAATGGTAATTTAATGCTAGCAACTAATAATCACTGAGTACTTACTAAATTACCCGGTACCCTTACATAATCTTCTGACGTGGTATTCCTGTATTTTGTAAATGAAGAAAGTGAAGCACTTGCCCAATGCTACATAACTAGTAGGCAGCAGAGTCAGGATTTGAACCCAGGTCTCCACGAAATCCCCTATATTGGAAGAGAGGAGGCTGCGACAAGTGATTCTAGGCTCTGCCATTAATGGGTTCTGTGACCACAGATTTCTCCTCATGGCTAGTCCTTATCTCACTAGATAGTCTTTGGGACCTCACTGCACTCTTCAAATTCCCAGCACCCCAACACTGATTAATAAAAGATCAATACAATTGCAAGAACAGTGTTGTCATGAGAGATTCTGAACAGGAGAAAACAGATTTCATAGTCCATTGACTCCAAGTCATCTGATTTATTATTTCTAAGGGTCATTCTGGTGAGGCTGGTTTCCCTGAAGAGGAGACTGAGGTAAATATGCTCTGCACAGTTAACAGCCTCACTCAGAAGAGAGCACTGAAGCTGAAGTAATTAAGACAGTCTTTAGAATTTGGTTGAAAAAGTAAGATATGAAAACCAGCTTATAATAGCAGGACTGAAGATTGTTCTTTTCTTTTAAATGCAGATGAAACAAAGAGGCTTCTAACAGAGAAGTAAATAGACAGGAAAAGTGAGATAGTATGAGAACTGACTGAACCTGGCACTGAAAGAGGGGAAATGCTGATGGCTTCATTACCCAAGATGGGCTAAACCAAAACGGGTAACACAGAAGAACCAATAGGGCCAAAGAGCCCACCCCTTTTGGTTCAGGCCCATTCTACTCTCATCATAGCTGCTTTCCTGTTCACATCCCAGCCCACGAGCAGGCCGAGACACCCACCTGAACAGAACTCTGCTTAGGAACAGGCTGTACCCATCTCACATGCTGTGGCAAGAATCAATTATAGATTTCACAAAGGCCCAAATTCAAGAGTCTGATTCTACTAGTACCTTTTAAGATCCCCGAAGGATTCCTGAAATAGTTAACACTGGTGCTCAGGATGACATCCAAGGTTACTAAACCCCATTAAAAGCAGTGCTGTTCAAAATCTTTCATCTAAGGCAAGAGTTTCAGACATTTCTGGAATTGTAAATCTTACGACAGTTATGTGGCTTTGTGTAAAAATCCAAGCTGCTTAGAAAGTGGGTAGGGGACCCTACCTGGTGGCACAATGGATTGGAGTGCAGCACTACGATGCTAGACAACTGCAGCCACTTCAGTACGAGTTTGATCGCTTGCCAGAGAGGTGATCTGCATGGCGTGGCAGACCTCCCCTGACCCGCCCGCTGCTCCCCTCAGCAGTGTACTTCGTCAGTCAGCCTGTTCCGCTCCCCACTGTCTCTATGACTCCTCTTATTGCCCCTACACATCTGGGCTGTACCCCAGTTCTGTATTAATAAATAAATAAATCTTAAAAAAAGAAGAAGAAGAAGAAGAAGAAAGTGGGTAGGAAAGGTGAGGAAGAGAACAGTGGAGAAACACCAGCAACCCTTCCCTGTGGTCCAAATGCTGACCAAGAAACTATTATGTTAGCTGTGTTTACACTTTCCCTTCTCATTTTCAAAATCAGATCCTACAACTGCCTGTTTCCTCAAGAATACCACTTTTGGAAAATGAAAAACTACTACTGCCTGACTTCTAACTGACATTTTATTTTGCATTAGTTGATTTAAAGAAATAAAATCTGTGAAACCTGCACATTTAAGTCATCTTCTGAAAATAAAAATTAAATAATTTGTGCAATAAATTAACTTCAAAATAGAAACTTATAACCACCAATAAGAGAAGCTGGGAGGCCGTGGTGGTCAGAGTCAGCACAGCCACAAAGCTCTTCAAAGGCATCCTGCGATGAGGTTCCCCCAGACCAAAGGAT